AGCACCAAGGAGATTCTACAGTCCTTGAACCGGGTAAAACCGAGCTTCTTTGCTATAGAATGGGGCATCGGATTTATACTAGCACCATGATCGCATAAACAGCTCTGAAATGTCAAAGGACCGAGAGCACATGGTATAGGGAAGCTTCCTAGATCTCCCAACTTCTTGGGAACTATCTCCTTGTGTATTATGGCGCTACACTCTTCACTAAGCACCAGCACTTCCTTGCCTTCCTTATTCTTATTTGCAAGCGTGTCTTTGAAAAATTTTGCACACTTAGGCATCATGGCAAGGCAATCCACGAGAGGTAGCTTGATCTCTACGTCCCTTAGATGCTTCTCAAACAAGAGCCTATGCTTCTCTATAAGTTGTTTCTTGAAGCGACCAGTAAAAGGAAGCTTAGGAACATAAGGTGGAGGTATGTACTCATCCTTCTCCTCGGTTGCTTTCTCCGCTTGCTTCTTTACAGTTGCTTCTTTCCCTTTTGTTGGCCTCTCTATCCACACGTTGTGGAAGTTGATTTCATCATGAGCCGACGGGTTATCCTCCCCCTCTTGAACCACAATGTCCTCATTGTTCTTAGGCGCAACCCTTGGTGGAAGCTCTTTCCCACTTCTTAGTATGAGAGCATTGGTGTATTCCTTGGGATTTTGCTCACACTTTCCCGGTAGACTACTTTGACCACTTGTAGTCCCCTTTCCTTTCTCTAACTGCTTGATCTTGTTATTCAAATTTGTAATCTGAGTAGAGAAGTCAGTGAGAGAGGAGTCTAAGCGAGTGTTCATCTCGGCGAACTTCTGATTTGTTGAAGCTTGCCCTTGAAGCAACTGCTGAAACATGGCTTGTACAGGATCAACTTGTTGCAGTTGCATCTGCTGTTGCGGAGGAACAAAGCCTGGAGGGTACATAGGCGTATAACCCTTGTTTCCTTGCTGCTGTCCTTGGAAGTTGCCTTGCCGCTGACCTTGAAAACCACCACTCGGCTGAAAACCTTTGTTGTAGGGCACAAATGGCTTTTCTTGCTGAGCAGGGTACACTTGATCTTTAGGGTTCTCCACATTGGTGCTTCTATAGGAGAGATTGTTGTTCTGCTGGTAGCCTTGTGAATACCCTTGAGGTTTGTAGTTGTTCTGACCCGCCACCCAATTGGCTTCTTCTTGACTCAACTCAAGCTCCTCTAAGGTCTCATCCGCTTCACCAACGAAGTGAACATGCTTCTGGTTAGCCAGCACCAGCTTGTCAATCTTCTCATGCAAGGACTTAAGCTGTTTCTTGTGAGACTCTAGCTCAGAACCCCTCGGTGCACGGTCTTAGTCTTCAGCATAGTTGCCGTCACTCAATGCTAAGTTCTCTATCAGCTCCATACCATCTTCCACTTCTTGACCAAAGAAATTTCCCTTACTAGCCGTGTCAAGTTGCAAGCGGATCTTTGGTGAAGCTCCGCGGTATATTGTGCTTAGGAGAGTCTCTTCACTGAAGCCGTGGTGAGGACACTGATTGGTGTAGTCCTTGAACCGCTCCATGGCTTCATTGAACGTCTCATTGTTCCTTTGAGTGAAGCCGCTGATCTCACTTCTCAACCTTGCTGTTCTGGTGCTTGAGAAGAACTTTGAGAGGAACGCCTTCTTACACTCAGCCCAAGAGGTAATGGTACCTTGTGGAAGTGTCTTCTCCCAATGTCTAGCCTTGTCTCCTAGAGAAAATGGAAAGAGATGCAGCTTGAAAGCATCTTCGGATATGCCATTAATCTTGATCATCCCACACACTTGCTCAAAGTTGTCAAGATGCTCCAAGGGGTCTTCCATTGCTAACCCATGGAACTTGTTGTTTTGCACCATTGAGATGAATCCTGGCTTAATCTCGAAGTTGTTGTTCTGTACAGGAGGGGGAGTGATCCCAAACCTATTATGGTGAGTAACAGGAGCATCTCTTGCTCCAATGATCCGTGGGGGTCTAGCCGCGTGGTGGGGGTTTCCATTACCCCTTCCCACTGCCCCATGAGCTGGAGGAGGTCCCTCTGGATATTCGTACTCAGCCATCGCTTCAAAATCCACTGAACCTTGCTGAACAATCTCCTCAAAGGCTCTCGCTTGCTCTCTAACTCTTCTTGATCTTGCGTGTCCAAGCTGGTGAATATTGTCCAAGGGCGTGAGTAAGTTGTTGTCACCCCTGGAGCGCAGATTCATGTACCTGAAAGACACAAGTGTGAAGGTAAAGAAATCAGTAACTAACTTAAAGTAAAGGTTTAGTCTTTACCAAACCCCAAATCTTAATGCTTTCTAACCCCAAAGATGGCAACGGCGCCATTTGATAACAAGTTTCTTATGATGATGCAATGATGTGTCAAGATGCAACAGAGAGGTTATCAAAGCTCTAATGCACACAGAGATGTAGTATAGTGAGCAAGAGAGGTATCAATCCACACTTAGGGGTAGCAAGTTCACTAAAAATGCAAGGGAATGAGCAAATCTAAGCAGAATATGAAAATGATTGGTAAAATCCATAAAAACTAGATGCAATGATTAAATGCAAAGCAAAACAATTTTAATATCCCTGGAAGAGGGTTAACTACCACGAGGAATAAGCAGAATAATTTAAATGCAAAGCTACGAATTATTAAAAATCGACTAGTGGATCGACTACAGAATCGACCACTAGATCGAGTAACAACGATCGATCTCGTCTAAACAATCTAGAATGATGAAATGATGCAATACGCGATTGACAAGAACACAACTTTATGATGATGGAATGATAAACAAAGACTTATAAAACTAAGAAAAAGGGTCTAGGGTTGAGGTTCATATTCGTGGGTCTCAAAGATCAAAGCTTGGTTTGAAAACGTTAGATCTATTCTTTCTAAGAGGTTCTCTAGGCCTTGAAAATAAAACAAGATCCATCCATGGCGTGTGGTATGGATCACTCCTTCATTCTCTTCTCCAAACCCATGGCGTTTGGTGGAAAAAAAGATTGGAGGGCATAAAACATAGATTTCAAACAAACGGCCTAACTAATCCCCTAAACAACCATGGCGTGTGGGAAAGGAAGGATTAGCCTCTAGGATTTGACTTCTCCAGGACATATGAATCCTGTCAAGGTAAGATATCCCTCTGATCATAGAGATCTTGGCGTGAGAGTCTCTAAGCCTTAAGTGCTCAAATCCTAGAAAAGAAAGGAATGAAGAACAAGAAAACACAAGCTTTAACCTTTTCGACCCTTTTGAATCACCTCAACCCCAAAACCCCAAAAAACTACTTGCTACACATAAAGTAAACCGAACAAAGCATAGAAGATGATCTACTAAGCATGCTTAAAGATAGATTAAAGCAAAAGGTTCAATATTCAAAGCGCAAATGCAAGAAAACTCAAGGTTCTACAATGGCGTAGATAATCGCCTAAAAACTAGAGAGAAGAAGATGATAAGCAAAAGTGAAAACGTGTAGATAAAGTGGAATTGCCGCCTTCCCAAAAATGGGCAAACCGCTCGATGGTCCCCCCCTCGCTAGAAGCCAAAAGCGGTTAAAGTAGCCTGGGATCGACCTCGAGATCAAGCATCTCACTCGATCGTCTTCGGGAATCGCGGCCTCAGCTCGATCTGTGTATCGATCTTCTTTGATGGATCGAGTGCTTCGTTCGATCTTGGAGTCGATCTTTGGAGGATCGAGTGGTGGACTCGATCCGACTCTCGCTCTGCATGGCATCATTTACGTCTGTACTTCTTGATCGATCTCTTCAATCGATCTTGGGCTCGATCAATTTCCTTGAATCGGATGGGCTACTCGATCTTCTGGTCGATCTCGTCTAGATCGACCTGCCATGCTCGATCTGCTACTCGATCTCAGGTCCTTAGCATGCCATCCTGATTTCTCCAAGTGTCCACGAACTTCCTCACGAGCCTTAGCACGTCCACGAATCCTCCATAGCTCCAAAGTATCCAAAAACAACCTGAATGTGATGCATAATGCAAGAAATATGCAAATGCTAATGCAAAAGTGCTCTAGGACCTAAAATGATGCAAACTAGCCTAAAGTGCAAGGTAAATGCATGAGAAACTATATTACATGCATGCAAAACACATGAAATATGCAGCAATATTAACAAACTCAAGCGGGGAAGGACACTAGCAGGTTTACTATATGGAGAAAACTTTGCATGATGGAATAGTTTTAAGCTTTTGTTACGTGTAACTCGTTTTCACCTTTGTAGTACTATGTTATGATTTCTGTGTAATACTGGTATAACTATGCATGACATGGTATTAGTTGACTTTCAAAGTAACTATGTATTGTTATTTAAAAACCAAAACTAATCACTGAAATTAGTTAATTTTGTTAGAACTACAACTTACATGTCATACAAACCTAAGAATTAACAAAACACGAGTACAAACTTATTGTTGCACCAGAGTTCTAATATCGATCTTTAACATTCCCTTATACTTTAAGAAACAATTTCTTATAGAGAACCAACTTATTAAGTGAAAGGTACAAAAATACCATATTCAAACTTATTGTTGCATAGGACAAGGATATTCATATGGAAAACCATATAATTCAATTGTAATACTAGAAAATATAAGTTTTAGGTGGTGTAATACTATTTCAACATTCTGTATAACTAACAATCTGGTATTACTATGTGTATTTTTTCGGCGGGAAATTGAATTTTTCGCAGGAGAGTGTAATTTTTCGATCTAATCTAAAATTCTCAAAATTTTCACTTTCTCTTACAAACTCTCGCTCTCTCTCTCTCTTAAAACCGATCTCTCATCTCTCTCTCAAAGAACTCTCTCATCCTCTCCTCTCCCTCTCTCTCTTAAAATCGATCTCTCCTCTCTCTCTCTCTCTCTCACACGATCCAAATGGATTCGGATTATAGCTATCACTACACGGACAATTTCCTCATCGACCCATACAAGGAGGAGTTGAAGGAAGAGAAGAGGCGCCGCAAGGAAATGGAGAAGATGAAACAGCATTAGGACAGGGTTGGATTCATCGCCGATGGCCAATATGGGATTCCGACAAGATGCCCATGTGGTGGATATATCAAGCACGATGTATCTCCTTCTCCAAAATTTAAACACGATTTCGATACTCAACCAGGCAGTAGGTACTTCACCTGCACCAAATTTAAGGTATAATCTCTATAATTTCAGATCTGGGTTTCTTTTCTAGGTAAAACTAGTAAAACTAGGTCAAACTATTTAGATGTTCTTCGGGTGTAAAACTTAGAATACCAGGTATAACTATAATTGATGTTGCTTGTTTTTTTGCTAGGATGATGGACTCCACTTGCGTGAGCCATGGGTTTTCAGAGTCGAACAAGAGATTGAGAAGCTAGTTACGAAAGTTGAAGAGCAGAGCAAGACGATTAAAGAAATGCGAAAACAGATTCAGATCCAAGCCGAAGAGATAGCCAAGCTCAATGTTGTACAACAATTTCCTTAGTCTCCAATGTTTTCCATTGTAGTTCAAGACTTAACGAATCTGCAATTTCCTTTGATTATTGTTTTAATTGTTGTTCAAGACTAATGTTCCATTTTACTTGTATTTTCTTAAGTTATCAATAGCAGCTATTAGTATTACTAATGTTACTTAGTGTTTTTCTAGTATCACCTAGTATTACTAACTTTTCTTAGTATTTGTTTTTCTAGCAACACTTACTAGGACTAGTTTTACCTAATAATACAGGAATTCAATAATTCATATTAAAAACATAGTTCATCCGAGATCGAAAATAAAAACAAAGTACTAGTTCCAAATAAAAACAAAGTACTAGTTCCAAATCAAAACAAAGTTCTACCAAATATAAAAACAAACATTGTTCAAGAGCCTGAAGCCTTTCTCGCTTTCACATACTCTTCAAGTGGCTTTATCCTCTCATCAATTTCATGGACCATGTTGTTGAGCAAACCCAACTGCTCTGTCATTGATACAATACTTGAAATGCTTCAAGTAATGTCCCTTTGAAATCAAAAGCTTAGAAGCCTTTTGATGGCTGAATGACTTGAATGGTTGAAAAGTCAGTTGATGCTTGAACTCCAAACACTAAGAGTTTAGAATCTTCTTTCTCAAAGGCTAATCCACGCAAGAGAGAGGAGCTTCTACATAATCCTTCAAGGTTGATTCTACAACACTTAGAAGAAAAACAGGAACAAGTTTAGTTGCAAAGAACTTTCTTTGTAAACAAAACAAATGGGAGTTTTAATTTCTTTAATAATTATGAATATGAAATACAATGGAGTAGAGCTTATATAATGCTCAAATACAATGAAAAGCAACGGTTACAATAATTAAAACAAAAGCAAAGAGTTTGGGATTTTAGTCTTGGCTTGATTTGATCTTCTAGCCATTATCATAATGGGGAAAAGGGGGTGGCTTGATTGGTGGTAACAAAATGGAGTTAATCTTTGACTCTTCTGACTTGTAGGGACGTTCAGGATCATCTTGAGAGGATGGAGGGTCGATATGAGTTGATGAAAGTGGCATTTGGTCATAGTTTCCTTTGGAGGTAAAGTTAATGAACTTATAAAAGGAAACTTCTTCTTTGGTTGACTCTCCTTGGTTTCGAATTTATTTAGCTCGGCTATTTCTTTGGTTTGCTGGTCTAAGACGTCTGTTATCTTCATTGGATGTCAGGTAAGGCGAATAAAATGTCTCTCCTGGTCGCCAAAGTTTGGTTTGCATGTGATTAAACTCTTCAGCTCCCATATAAGGCAAGTGGAACAACCTCCAGTTTAGAAGTTGAATAATTTTTAAACCATGATGAATTTTGATATGAATCCAATTCGTGGCATCCCTCTGATGAGTTGAGAATCTGAAAAATCTATTTTTGTTGCTTGGTTCATCTTGGTTTGTCCGGAATGATTTAACTAGTAGTCGTATGTCTTCATCGGGTCCATTGAAAATCTTCCAATTTGTATCTTCAATATCTTCTTCATAAGAACTCCTTTTTGGCTGATTATTCTTCGTGGTGAACTCTAAATGAGTTGAGTATATCCTCCCATGGTCTGCTGAGTTTGAATATTTGTTATTGGCCTTCATTTGTGCTAGACAAAGCTCGTATGTCTCCTTGGATCTCCCAAGCTTCATGTTCTCCACTTCATGCTTCCTGAGTCCTTGCTCCTTCGCTGGTTCAGTTGTGTAGGGTTTGATGCTTACATCAGTCATGGTCTCCATCGCGCAGACGACATCCTCTAGAGACATTTTCTTAGCTCGGGGTTTTTTCCTTGCTCTTTCCTCCACCATTTTTTCTCGCCCTTTCACATCTTCTTCCTTCATGTCTTCAAACACAACTGTGAATCCATTATCTAAACATTTTCCCAACTTTCCACAACAGGATCGTGCTCATCATCATTGTCCTCTGTTTCCATTATCAAATCCAACATCGCATTCTCCTCCTCCGAAGCTATCAGCACACTGTCAATGTCCTGTCAAGTTAAACGCATTTAAACAACCAATGTTAACAAGTTTCCTTGTGTTTTTCAAATCTGCAATTACTACTAACCTTGTTCTCACATCCGATCTTTTCATACACAGTCTCAAGTGGCCAGCCTCTCAGGTCGCATTTCTTCCACTTGGAACTGCACATCCTCGGAAGCTTTGTCTGCAGTCGACGTTAGGATATGGTACAACTTCTTGGAAGCTTTGTCTCAGTGGCATAATGGCATCCATCGCCAAAAGCTACAAACACACACATATAATTAGACTTAACATAAAAAGAAAAGGAAAACAATGCAAAAGACAATGTTTTACCTCCAAAGGAATGCAAAAAACCAGGAAACGACCATGCACTGTCCAACCCCTTCTCAACAAAGTGCTTTATCGTATCCGAAATGGACTCTAAGATGCGATCAAAAGATAATCTCCCCCAAGGAAATGTCTTGCACTTATCCAAATCACCAGTGTATTTTAAGAATACTTCGAACACGGGTTTTGCGTTGTCTCCGGTTTTGGTGGGAGAGTAGATGATGCTGCTCAAGAAATACAACACCACCATCCTGAGCCTATCTCCACTATCATCCGGGCCCATCTCCTCAGGCTTTTTCTTCACATCCTCCCTTGAAACCTTCTTTTTGTCAGGAAAATACTTTTGCTTCAAGTAAGAGTTTCCTCTTTTATTCTAATAGAGAGGATAGTTGCTACAATTGAGTCCTGAGATCAAAGCATGCTCTTGTAACCCATACCGGACAGGAACACCATTCACCACAAACCAAGCCTCTTTCTTCCTTTCGATCCTAGCAGTATGCATCAACAACATCCACAATGGTTGAACCATATGATTGCTCTTCAGCATGTGAAGAATGTGGCAAAACTGCGGATATGTCTCAAACCACTCTTTTTCCGTCGGAGTCAGATCCACTTTCTCAAATGTCTCCATAACTTCTTGGACGAAACACCGGGTTGGTAGTTTAATGCTCTTGCTATACTGATCAGGCTTCAATTACATGTCTGGTCGCATGACAATCATCTCTTCAAAGGCACCCTGCAACATACATACAATATTAATACCAAAATCAGAATATTACCAAACTCAGAATATTACATAATAGTACTAGTTTTACCCAGTTTTCTTAGTTATACCAACATGCTAGTATTACCTAATTATCCTAGTTTTACAATTTCTAACAATTGAGAATTGAGAATTGTGATCAAAATGAAAAAAAGAATTGGGAAAGAGATAATTAACTTACAGGATTCCGGTCGTCTCTCTGGCTTTATGTCTCCTCCTCCTCGGCCTCACTATCCACACCATGTTCTCCGTCTTCTCCATCAGAATCACCATCTCTGAAGGCTTCTCCTTCTGACTCATCTCCGCCTCTGGTTACTCCTTCTTCTCCGTCTTCTTCTACGTCTTCTTCGACCGTCTTGTTACCCGCCTCCGTCGTTTCTGCTTCAACAATCGGAGGAGGAGGAGCCTCTCGAGCCGGAACGCCCTCCGTTGTTTGTGTTTCGACAATCGGAGGAGGAGGAGGAGCCTCTCCACCCGGAATCGCCTCCATCATTCCCGATTTTGTCTTACGCTACATTGCTGCTGGCTTCTCAATCGGCTTCTGACTCGGGCTCGGGTTCTCCTTACGCATTTTTCTCGTCCTCGCCATCATTTGTTCTTCGTCGATCTATTCTGATGTCAATCTCTCTCCCTCTTTCTATCGCCGCTAGGGTTTCTCCGGTTTCGGTGATGATGTCTCATACATTTACATCATTTAGGCTTGCATTTAGTACATGTTTTGGTTCTCTTTTGCATGTCTTCCTTATCTTTTGTCCAATTTTCTTATCCTTTTAGACTTAGGTTGCATTTAGGGTGTAGTTTGCATTTTTCTTATATAAAGGATGTTTTTAGGTACTCATGGAGCTATGAGGAGCATGGAGGAGCTTTGGGAGTTGACCAAGAAGCTAGCTGAGCTGAAATGAGCAAGATCTCTGCAGAGCCTATCGGTGAGAGCACGAAGACTATCGGTCAAGGAGTGACCAATAGAAGACCTATCGATCAAGCCTATCGGTCAGAGAAGTGACCGATAGAAGAGCACCGTGTATATTTCGGTCACCCTATTGGTCACCCTATCGGTCATCTTCTAGACCGATAAGCCTATCGGTCAAACCTATCGATCACCTTCCAGACCGATAGGATTCCAGACTGAAGACCACTTATTTACAATTTTGTCATTTTCGCTTGGATTCCTTTAAATACGGAAAATTTCTAATTTCTGGAAACAGACAAAGATTGACTGTCTAGGGAGTGATTTGGAAATATAGAGTTGATAGAGTTGTCTTAATGCTTGCTGTTTATCATTTCACTCATGAGAATTAGTTCTTGACTTAGTAATTAGCAAAGAGATTAGTACCAAGAGATTGGATTAGTCATATAAATGAATCCTACGCATAAGGAATAGCACTGTGTGGGGTTTGTAAGCATTATAGGTTGAGTAAAGAGTCCCCTAACACCAATAATCTCATCTCAAGTCCCATCTTTTCTCTGTTTTTAGCTTGAATTTGAATTTGCTCTGTTTTTGCCTTCGTTTTAGTTGTTTTGTTTGCTTTTCACTCTTTGTTTGATGTTCTCTTCATTTCTGTTTGAACCTTTAGGTTGCTAGACATTCTAAGTTATTTATATCTGCTTGAATTAGGATCTTTACTGTATTCTTACTACTTCATTCTCCCCTTTTGGATTGATAAAACCCTATGCTATACTACAACTGATTAGTACAAGCTTGGGTGATTGAATCAAGTCCCAAAAAGTCTTGTATCAACTTGATGCCGTTGCCATTAAGGGAATGCTTTGTTCAGTAGGATTTGTAGAGATCTTGAGATCAAGCTTTGTTATTTTTGTTTTTGGTTACTGATTTCTCTTTGGTCTAGAATTTTTTTTGTAGGTACAACAACACTTGCTCTTAAGTGTCTACAACTACAACTAAGGTTCAAGGTCAAAGATTTGGGTTTGCAGAATC